GTCTGATAAACAGCGTATCATGGCGACCTATGCTGAATCAAGCATCTGACCATCTGCCCATAGTTATCTCGATTGATCAACCTGCCGACTTTGCTTCCGTGGATCACCGGACTTATGTAAACTTTTCCCAAGCTGATTGGAAATGCTTCACGGATGTTACTGAGGGCGCCTTCATTGCACTACCCATACCAACCGACGTTCATGTAGGTGAACGTAATTTCCGCAGGGTTGTCACCGCTGCTGCAGCTCGCTTCATCCCAGCAGGATGTATTAAGGATCCACCTCCGAATTTTCCTGCCGAAGCGGCTGTTCTAGCTGATGAGCGCGACAACCTTCGTCAGGCCGATCCCGGAAATCCCCGTGTTAGGGATCTCAATTCGCAGATTCGGCTACTTGTGAACGTACATAAGCGGTTCTTCCGGGAGGAGGGAGGAGCATTTGAAGACCTGCAACTTCGCCTCTGTTGTGAGCAAGCTTTCGTCAACCGTGAGGTCGTTGTCCAACCCGATGAAGCGCGGCGACAGAGTCGAGATAGACTTTGGTGACACGCTTCGTCGGACCCGGACAGATGCGCGAGCTATTTTAGCCGGCAGTTCATTCTGCATCCTCCGGTGGATAAAGCCAAACGTCGAGTGACCAGAAGGCTGCACAAAATGCCAAAACCTAGTGCGCCTCTTGTTTTCACCAGCGTTAAGGTAAGGGTAGCCATAGGGAAGGCGAAAGCCTCCAAAGCCATTGGACCCGACGGAATATGCAACTTGATGCTGAAAAATTTGGGTCCTACGGGAGAAGCGTACCTAACGGAGGTCCTCAACCTGTCTATGGCCACTCTCGTCATTCCAGACATCTGGAAAATGGAGAGAGTGGTCCCACTGCTCCAACCAGGGAAACCAGCCAACGAAGAAGAGTCTTATCGCCCGATAACTCCTTTCCCCGGTAGCGAAGACACTCGAGGCCCTGTTGCTCCCGTACTTTACGAACCACCTGACCCCAGCGAAGCATCAACATGGGTTCCGTAAAGTGCATAGTATAACAACAGCACTTAACGCC